CATGGGCCCGGGCGGCGCCGCCCGGAGAGATGCGAGGCGGCTCGTGGGGTGCAGAGAAATATTTACCCTGTACGCCCTAGAAGATCGGCTGGGTTTCGTGCAAAATGGTAGCCAACCAAATGCTTTGACTTACCTGACATGTTTGCAGAGACTGAGATTGAGATAAGACAGATGCAGAGGCACGCACTTGCATCATTCGTGGTGTTTGTGTTGGTGTCCGATGTCTGGCTTTTCCCATCTTCAGTGGAGCACAACCACGTGGAACAAAAATTACCAAAAGCGCCAACGGCCACAATCCCGCCACACAAACAGGACAAAGAGTCTGCGATCATTCACGTGAGCACGGGTCACCCCATTTGAATTAGTTTAGTTGATTTCTTCAGGTTGATAAACTTCAAAATGTGACCTACTGGCTACTTGCTAGAAACAGCGCAAGCCCCTCTAACCAAACAGCGTGCATTCATTAGTTGACTTGGTCTGCCTGCTAGAAAAACGCGAGTCGTTGACAAATAAAACTTATGAGTATTTTAGCAAGTAGGTAGCTCAAAAAGCACATGAGAACATTACCTTGGGATTAAACAATCTATATTAATAACCAATGACTGCTTTTACATTGACTGTTACGGATGGGAAAAAATAATTCACAAATTTAATGTCGTCATTTACGTTGTGATAAAATGTGGTGCAACAAATCACTAGCCACTATTTATAAGAATCGCGCCATAATTGTAACTGACTCATCGAACCCACCGGTATACTCCGACACGGCCGGCCTTTTTCATTGGCCAGCAGGGATGTCGGAAGCTGGTGGACGCGTCTGCTATATTTTCGCTGGCATGATTTTAACGTGACTTCACATTAGGATATGCATTATGCTTTGGAATGACTGTGAATTGACTGAATTGTGAGGGGTTGCGGACGTGATGACGTGATGTATGTATGTAATGACCATCATAGACAATCCACACGGGGCGTGGCGATTACAGTCCAGTATGTATTTGGAAGATTCGGCGATATATTTCATCAACGCACGGAACGACACTGATACATGCACTGTCTACTCCTAGTACCACAGGCATATTGCATGACAACCAGTTTATGTCACACAGCTGTATCCAGCATGCGACGTAGCAGTGCACCACTGGTGGATCAAAGGGCCATTTTGTGCATTTTCCCCTCATGCTTGCTACGTCCAGATCAACGTTTTGTCGTCGTCGCACAAAAAGAAAACATAATAACCCTCGCATGTGTAGGGGGAGTCGGATGGACCCCCCATGGTTTTTCACGAATAACTCGCGCTAAAAGCGGCCGATCCCGGCGAAACTTTCAGTACCCTCGCATCGATCAATTTTACACCTACCCTGAAAATTTCATGACCCTGACCCAAATGACCTTTGACCTGTACCCTATTTCTCGAAGCCATGTTTGGCCGGAATCGCGATTCGGCGTATGTCGGCTCGCATTAGCCGCGCGTTTGCTAGCTTTTCGTGGTTTCCAACGTTCAAACATGTGATTTGAGGTGGCTCACATGCGTTAGGGTGGATGTCAAGGTCACCTGAAGGTCAGTTCAGGTCATTGACTTTTGGTGACCTCGGTTCACTTTTTCAAGTTTTACATGTTTTTAGGGTAGTTTTTGGAGCTGAATTCGAATTTAGAAACCATTTGAACATTTACGAAGTAGTTTTGGTGCCTTCGTAACATGTTACGTAGCTGTCAGATGTAGTTGACACGTACTACGAATACCCGTCACAACGCCTACTGGTCGACCTGACCTGACCTGGTCTAAATGCTTTAAAGGAAGACTGCCACCTTCAAAAAGTTTTCTCAGATCGGCCTATGATTTATTCCCTGGACAAAACAAAATTTTAGAATTCACCTGACAAAGTATCATCACGTGAATCGCGAAAAAAATTGTCGATTTTCATACAATTATCAATCGGTTAATGTCTAGCGACAATGTTTACACATCACTAGATTTCAAGGTCATAAGATTATTACATTTTATTTGAAAAAGTAAGGTATTTTATGATTTACTAATATATGATTTCATAAGAAATTGGCCATGTTTAATTTATTTTGCATTTAAGTTCGTAAAACATTTAAAAATCATGGCTCATTTGGAATGGGTCTGGCCCATGTTAAACCCCATTTCCCACACTTTTTGGAAAAAATGAACTACTGAATATATAAGTTAAACTTTTATTTTGACACTCCAAAACTCTTCTCTGATCTCGAAACAATCAAAGTTTTGACATATATTTACCAAAAGATAAGAAAATTCATGTTTCAAAGTTATCGATAAACAGTAGAGATGTCGGTTTTCTTGGACTAAAAAAATGGCATCAAACTGAACTTTGGTCTCCGATTTCTCGCAAACGGGTTCGAATTTCGGAAAACCGACTTCAGTCTGGGACATAGGTGGCTCAGCTCTAGTGAAAACCGTTTTGTGAAAAAAGGTGGCAGTCTACCTTTAACCCTCGCCCGCATATGCCATTTTCCCATCCTAGAACGCACATGGGGGCTGGTTGCCACCCCCCCCCCCCGCGCCATTTCGTTCCTGTTGGAGATAGACCTTAGCGGTAAAGACCAAAAAGATTCTTTGGGAAGAGACGAATCCAATGATACCCAGTTTTACCTTCTCAGGTCAGTCATTGACCTTCCAGGTCAGGTCAAACTAAAAAATGTTGCTGTTTTGGGTCACCGTTGGATATCAAGTGCGCTGCTTATCATATACCGATGACGATGCCGTTTTCTGGTGCCAAGCCAGCTAGAACCTCTTTGTCACACTACCCGACCAGGTTTTTGCTGCTGAGGTCATTTCAGGTCAAGTTAGGTCAAGGTCAATTATATGTGTTTGTATGTCTGTGTGTGTCTGTGTGTATACTGATGAGTGCACCGATTGTTTATGTGTCCATATTACATGAAATCATGATCTGAGAAGCTTTTACCAAAAATGCAGTCAAAAAACTTCACAAAAAGTAAATTCCGCTTGCCTAAAACGCAATTATCTTAGATGACCTAGGTTGACCTTGACCCTGTCCTTGACATCTGTACATCGTCGAACAGCATGTTCCATGATAGGTGGGAGGTAAGACTGGCGAAAAAGGCCGAAATCAAGGTGTCAGAAGCTCACAAGGCCCATAGCCAACGCAAGATGTTGAGAATTGGTCATTTGGGTCATGACCTGACCTGAAAAACAAGGTCATATCTCCGAAACCAGACCACAGAAACTTGAAATTTTCAGTGGACATCAAGAAAGGATAGGGGAGCAGCTATACGAAAAATCAGCTTTCTAGCTCTAAAAATGTTGAGTGCAGAGCAGAAAGACTACCTGGGGGGTGGCACCCCCCCCCCCATGTGCGGGCGAGGGTTAAGACATCATATGTGATCAAAACTAACACGAAAATTAACAGGATATGATCAGCACCCCAAAAACCCCATAGCAGTCACACTTTACGACTTTCTAACAGGTCCCGATTTTCCCGACTTTTGGGTCATTGACCTGACCTGGAAGGTCAACCAATGACCTAGGACCTTAACCCGCGCCCCGCTGGGCTATTCAGCCATACGCGCCCTGCTGGGGGGGGGGGGCAGATTCTGCCCCCCCTGTCTAACTTCCGAACCGATGGTCGTAGAAAGACGGGGAAAACGGCAATCGAAAGCTCTCAACAAGGCGGATCTTAAGAGCCCAATTTTTTTACTTAAGTAGGTCAGAGGTCAGGTCAAGGTCAGGTCAAGGGTACAAAATGCAAGTTTCTACAGCATTGGCCTTGCACCGTAGTTGCCGAAGAATGGACTGAGACTGATTGCCCAAAACGTGTTCTTAGACTACCAAGACAATAGTCGTTGCACACAATGTCATTCAAAGGTCAAGGTCAAGGTCAGGTCAGGTCAGGTCAGGTCACCAAAAACAAAATATAGAAAAGGGCATGTGCGACACATGTTTTATGGGTCATTTTACTCATGGAATTCAATAGTCACACTCAATAAGTGATATGGACCGCCTCTGGATGAATTTCAGGTCGAGGTCAGGTCAAGGTCAGGTCAAGTGAGGTCAAATTTTGAAGTTGGTTGTTAAGGCCTAAAAAGGTGTCTATCCGATGCAGTTTTTCACGGTGAATCGAATGGTGCTATTCTTATTTCCGTACGAGGTCTAGAACTTCCAAAAAAATCATTTTTCAAAATTTTTGTGTGTCGTGACGTCATAAAATTTTGAATAACTCCCACATTTTTGAACCGATTCTTCTAAAAATTGGTATGTAGGTGCACATAGACCACTTCTTTGACATATATTCCGGTTTTTTCGATAAACTCAAAATTTTGGATTTTATAAATATTTTCCCAAAAAAGTCAGTTTTTTGGAAAAATTTTGGCCAAAATCCAAATTTTTCAAAAAACCGAGATAGCCATTTGATAGACAAAGTAGAATCACGTATAACCTTTTTTGTTACGTCTTGATTCCTTTAAAAATGAAGAAGTTAGCGGCGTTTGAAATTTTGCCGTTTTTAGGCGAAAATGGCGAACATGACGTCACTAAAACGTCAATTTCTCAAACATTTTCCGACGGATTTCGCTCAAATTTTCAGGGAACGTGTCAAATTGATGTATGATAAGGTACTGAAAGTTTGACGTTGCTGGCGTAACGCGTTTAGAAGTTATTGGCGAAAAACGGGAGGGGGGGCAGATTCTGCCCCCCCCCCCAGCGGGGCGCGGGTTAAAATTGGGTATCATTGGCTTCCTCTTGTCACGGGCAACACGCTCGTTTTTTTCGCGAAGCTCTAGCTTGATTAGGGGCCAAACGGCAAGGGGGTGGGGTCCAACCGAGCCCACCCCCCTACACATTAGAAGCTGGCAAACGCCGCACACATGCGAGGGTTAGATGGACCCTCCCACCTTCAAAAAAGGCTAATGAATTGACAGAAAAGTGATTTACCGTGATTTAAAGAAACACAAAACTGAATATCTACCAAATTTCACTGAAAAAAATAATCACCGGTTTTCAAGATATTAATTACACAATAACTTTTGTTTATTTTTGAGACCTCTGCTGTTCCTGAGGTCATTTGAAAGTAATTTGGCATCCTAATAAATAAGTTATAATGTTTAAAAATCGTTAGATCTGCGCTGACGTCACCAATTCTAATTCAAATGTACTAGCCCCGTAGAATCCAAAACTAATTATCTCTGAATCAAAGCATTTCTCGACGTTGTAAGTGCCTAAACAGGTACTTCCAAGCCAGGGACCCCCATTTGACTATATCAACTCAAAACTAATGTTAAGGTGGGATGGTCACTTAAACGGCAAAGAAACACTCAACAAAAAATGATGATTTTTATCTGGAACACTTTTAGTTCCTATTATTCTTGCTCAGTGTCTTTCCTCTACCCGCAATTGCAACATACCGGTCACTCTAAACATCTGCTCATGAGGCACAAAAAAAATACAGTGTAATGCTGTGGACGCCAGCGATATACGCCGGGATATTCTCATTGGGACTACCGGCACCCTCTGATATGTGGGTACCGCAACATCTTCTTGAAGCGACATCCGACCGTCTCCGTCTGCTTCTCCTTGGGCAGACGCCCATAGCTGTGTTTCATCTGAGGAGCTGCAACTCATCTGAGGAGCTGCAACTCATCTGTGAAGCTGAACTCAGCTGCGGCGCCCTCCGCGGAGCTGAACTCAGCTGAGGCGCCCTCCGCGGAGCTGAACTCAGCTGAGGCGCCCTCCGCGGAGCTGAACTCAGCTGCGGCGCCCTCCGCGGAGCTGAACTCAGCTGAGGCGCCCTCCGCGGAGCTGAACTCAGCTGAGGCGCCCTCCGCGGAGCTGAACTCAGCTGCGGCGCCCTCCGCGGAGCTGAACTCAGCTGCGGCGCCCTCCGCGGAGCTGAACTCAGCTGCGGCGCCCTCAGCGGAGCTGAACTCAGCTGAGGCGCCCTCCGCGGAGCTGAACTCAGCTGCGGCGCCCTCCGCGGAGCTGAACTCAGCTGCGGCGCCCTCCGCGGAGCTGAACTCAGCTGAGGCGCGCCAGCAGCTCCAGCGCCCCCAGCACTGAAGACGTGTGTGCACCTGCTGCATCAGCACGGTCAGAAGACATGGGCTGGGCCTCGGTTGCGGGATGACCTCCATCGGCGTCCGATCCTAATAAGGTTCCTTCTACCCGAGAAACGATGGAAGGCGAATCAGCAGCAGTGAGCCTTCCGACATCGCCAGAGGTCAAACTCGCTGCGTCAGACTCCTGTGTCAGCTCTATGCCAGACTCCTGTGTCAGCTCAATGTCAGACTCCTGTGCCAACTCTATATCAGACTCTTGTGCTACTCCTTCGTCAGACTTGGGTTCTACCTCTTCGTTAGGCTCCTCTGCCTCCTTTGTGTCTGGCTCGTACGCCACCGCTGCTTCACTCCTATTTTCACTATTTTCGTCGGTAGAAAAGATGGCGGTTGTGACGAATGCGGCCTCAGTTATGTCAGCAAGAACAGGGACTCTGCCTTTTTCAGAGGCGAGGAGGAGCTTCCCGACTCGGACGGGAGTGGTTGCGGCGGCGGACAGGACGTCCTCTGTGAGCGCCGCAGAGTCGGCACTGGAGTCGTCCGCCCCAGTGGCAGGACCCTCCAGGTCATCGCAGACCGGTGCGATGCCGAGCGCGCCTTTTCCGGTCTCCAACTTGGCCTGCGCGCTGGTGATGGGCCTCTCCCCGCCCCCGCTCGCTGCGGACACGGCGACCAGGCTCGGCGGGCTGCCGACGGCGGCTGGCGGCGTGGGCACGGCGTCACCAAACGCGCGGAAGCCGCCCTCGTCGGCCACCCAGGTAATGTTCACGTGCCGGCCGTCGGGCGCCAGGTATGAGTAGTGGCCGCGCATCACGGTGCCGACGCCGTCCCCGATCCGCCTCTGGTGTCCCACCGCGCCCACAGACGTGCCGTCGCCGGTGCTGTAGCTGTAGCTGAAGCTGCCGTTGTTGTTCTCGTACGTTTGACTTCTGATCTGATGTGCAGTAGAGGGGACCGCCTGCTGCGAGTGTGCCTGGACCGGCGGGACCTCTGAAGCTGCCTGCGCAGACACAGGGACCCGGTGACCATCTGGTTCGGGGGAACCCGAGCCTTCGAGGTTGGTCTCGAGCTCTCCAGAACCTTCTACGTCTCCATCGGCAAACCCCGATCCTTCCAGTGCTGTGCTGACTTCCTCAGCCGAGTCTCGAACAGCCACAATTATCCCTGAGAGTTCCAGCAGACCCTCGTCCAGCGGCAGCGCCGCAGCACACTGGACTAGGGCAAACACCAGGAGAGGGTGCATGGCCGGCTACAGCGGTCAGAGGACCGAGGCTGGCACAGAACAGCCGCCAGAGCCCACTGATGGCCGTCTCCAGGTGCACGGCCGCTTATATGTCAGCCGGTGACTGGGAGCGACCGGCACCCGCTGCTGCCGATCAGCCCCTGGCCATGCGTCGGTGAGCACGGCCCGATCGTCCGATCGTCCGCCTGTGCTCGCCGGGAGATGACTCTTCGCCCCGCCGCGCATCGATCGCATGGCGGGATGCAGTTGCAACACTCATATAGGTACACAGAGTCTGCAATACTCACAAACGGTGACGAGCCCGACGCGATATTGGCGATTGCTGTAAATGGGTGAGCACTCTGTAAGGTTAGCATTGGTTGTGCAACTGTGGCGCCATGGTAGCTCAAATGTCGGCTGGCATGTGGTGTTCGGGCGGCAGATGTGCTGAGCGCCAAGTGGCAGATACAAAGTACGAGTGATGCGACTTACCAAATAACTGATGAAATCAAATGCTGTTTACGAGTAATTCTGAAGCGTGTTCACAATTCACTAGTACCTACACTGAGCCGGGATTTAAATGGGGACCAGCCAAATCAAATGGCAATTTTAACCCGCACATAACTGGGGACCTACAGAGCCCCCCTCCCATTTTTCTGCAATATCTTCTAAACCGCTGGTCGCTGGATGTATCAAGACAACACTTGCAGTACCTTCGGCTACACCAATTTGATACCTTGTATCCAAGTACAAATTTCGTAGTTACCAGAGGTCGGCCGAAAATGACGTCAGAGTGACGTCATGTTCGGCTAATTACAGATGTGGTAAGCTATACTGCAAAAAATCTTAATTCTTAACCCTCGCCGGCACAGGGTGATGACTGATGCACATCTTAAGGTTTTTCGCGAATAACTCGCGTAAAAGCGGCCGATCGCGACGAAATTTTCAGTTCCTTCGCATCGATCAATTTTACACCTACCCTGAGAATTTCATGACCCTGATCCAAGTGACCTTTGACCTGTGACCTACTTTCCGAGGCGTATTTGGAAATTCCGACCTCGACGAGCGTCTGTGGTGGAAAACCACCACTTTGGTAGGGGAAACTACTGCTGTCTGCTACCATTTGCACTGCATGTGTCGCTATAGTTGCGACATCTATGCATATACATATAAACCGCGACATCTGTGTGCGCTGATTCTAGTTAGCGATTAGCTACTGCACCAGGGTGGATCCAGACTTTCGGTTTGAGGGTGGGGGAACTCATGGCAGGCCCGATCCCCGGCAGTCCGGTTGCTGAGGGGGGGGGGAGGAAGGTCCGGGACCGATATTATGCCACGTCTATTGCCTATAGGTAGGTATATTATGTATGTATTGGTATGCATTGGTTTTGGTGAAGTTAAAGCTAAAAGTTATAAATAAGTTTAACAAAAAAAAAACACCGACGCAAAGCGCTGCCGTTTTTAACCCTCGCCGGCACAGGCCATTTTGCGTCCTTCGACGGCACAAGGAGGTTGGTACGACCCCCCCCCCCTCGCGTTTGGCCCCTGATCGAGCTAGAGCTTCGCAAAAAAGCGAGCGTGTTGCCCGTCATGAGAGGAAGCCGATGATACCCAATTTTAAGGTCCTAGGTCATCGGGTGACCTTCCAGGTCAGGTCAATGACCCGAAAACCGGGAAAATCGGGACCTGTTAGAAAGTCGTAAAGTGTGGCTGCTATGTGGTTTTCCGGGGTGCTGTTCACGAATATCGTGTTAGTTTTGATCAGAGATGATGTCTTTAACCCTATTCCTGGCGGGCTCCGCCGGGACAAGAAACTGGCGGGGGGGGGTCGATTCGGCCCCCCTTCAGATCTCAAAAACTACACATCGCAGCGACAAACGGTAAACGGCATCGGATACGCACGGTCAAGATCTACAATGTTTACAAAGGTCATTTTCAGGTCAGGTCAAAGATGACGTCACAGGGGTCGAAAAAGTCAAAATGGCGGCGCTAGATATGGAGAGTTTTTCTCGAATTACTTTCGAATTAGTCAAGATAGGAACAAACTAAGGGCATCATCGTGATCCTCTCGTCAATCCGCATCGAATGATATATATGTTCACCTCGAAAGGTCAAGGTCAAAGGTTGACCTCAGGTCACGTGACCTCGAGGTCATCATGTATATCATTCGATGCGTCTTGACGAGCTGAACACAATGAGACCATCCACGCGTCTGTATCTTGTTCCTGTACGGAGTTATTGGCCAAAAACCTTTGGTGACCTTTGATGACGTCACATGACCTCACAGCTGCCCAACAGCAAAACAGACCTCAAGGTAGTGAAGGTTGATCGTATATGAAGTCATGTATGGTATATGGGGCCATTCCGACCCGTTTTAGTGGTAAAAACAGGGAGTTGATTTTTCCCCCATTGACTTATAATGGGCAGGTCGCGAAACTGACCTGACCTTAGGTCACTGATATCAAAATTCCGAGATATACAAATTGCACATACTGGTACCCTTACTAAAGTCTGAAGAGAAGAAATTGATCGGTCAAAAACTCTAGCTCTGGCGTGATTGCAAACTTTTCTGATGTAGGGTCACCAAACCGCCTCTGGTGACCTGACCTGAGGTCAGATCAACTCAAAATTTTCAGACATGTTGCGTAGAAGCCTTTTAGGAAAAGTCAGAAAATTTGAGCTTCCTAGCTCAACGCGTTTGGGAGAAATAACCAAAAAACCTCAGGGGGGGGGCTCCTGAGGCCCCCCCCCGCCAGGAATAGGGTTAAGCATTTAGACCTGGTCGGGTCAGGTCAGGTCAGGTCAACCGGTAGGGGTTGTGACGGGTATTCGTAATACGTGTCAACCGCCTCTGACAGCTTCGTAACATGTTACGAAGGCACCAAAACTACTTCGTAAATGTTCAAATGGTTGGCAAATTCGAATTCAGCTCCAAAAACTAGCTTAGAAGCATGCAAAACTCGAAAAAGTGAGCCGAGGTCACCCGAGGTCACCAAAGGTCAATGACCTGACCTGACCTTCAGGTGACCTTGACACCCACCCTAATGTATGGGAGCAACATCAAATCACATGTTTGAACGTTTGAAACCACGAAAAGCTTGCAAACGCGCGGCTAATGCGAGCCGACATACGCCGAATCGCGATTCCGGCCAAACATGGTCTTGGAAAAGAGGTCAGAGGTCAAAACTCAAAGGTCATTTGGGTCAGGGACCCAGGGTCATGAAATTTTTAGGGTAGGTGTAAAATTGATCAATGCGAGGATACTGAAAGTTTCGTTGCGATCGGCCGCTTTTTACGCGAGTTATTCGCGAAAAACCTTAGGGGGGGGGGGGGTTGCATCAACCTGTGCCCTGTGCCGGCGAGGGTTAAGATATCCGCGAAAAATCGCATATGGGAGTGTCCCAGACTCCCAACACCTTCTCCCCGCTCGGTCTTTCTACAAGGTGCAACTGGTCTGAAGGGTCGTGACATGATGTAAGTACCCTGATACGATCATACGGCAGCGTTCCGCGCCGCTATTTTTTTTTTTTGAACTTTCTCGGGTCTGAAATTTTAACAACATGTGCGGAAAAGATGAAATTCTAAAAAATTGTTCCGAACGGGCCTTTTGAATGGAAGGATTCGCAAGGACAGAGCCACGCTTAGCAGACCTTGTTGTATTGGCCCTGCCATCCATCCTCCGATCCCGTAATTCCTGATATATGACAGGATTTAGAGTCCGAAGCTTAACGTACCTATGAATGTACGTTTAAGCAAGGTATAACTTCTGTCAATTGCCAATGTTTGCATACACTTGAGTGTACTAGAAGCGAAGTAGAGAAAAACTTGTTCTCGGCCGTGTGACACTGTCCATCGCGCTCAACGTGTCCCCATTGCATAATGATCAATCTAGGACTGCTTTTTGCGGCTGTTGGCCGTGACGCGGCTGTCAGCAGAGATACTGAAGCCGCGGAAGCGCCCGTCTTTCTGCCGGGCTGCCGATGACGGACAATGGACATCTCTTCTCGGCCGGAGAGGGTCGCATTCCTCATCTGCAGTGGATAGAGCCGCGCTGCCAGTTTTTACATGGCGCCCTGCCGACCTACTGCTGGAAGCACTCAGGACGGCAGTTCAATCCCCATACTCAAGGTCCAGTTATACAGATTGAGGTGCGCGAAAGACAATTAAGGAACACCAGTTGCTGCTTTTCTCTAATTGACGCTATTCTCTGTTCTGAACTGCTGATAAATTATCAACCAATTAACCCGCAACCCACTGGGGGGTGGGGGTGGGGGGCTATTCCTAGCCCCCTCTCGTTTTTCTGCAATAACTTACACACCGCTGAACGTATCGACGTGAAACTTTCAGTACCTTTGACTGCATCAATGTGACACCTTGTGTCATAATATTGACTTCGTACCTATAACGAATCGGCCGGAAATGACGTCAGAAAGATGTCATATTCGGCCGATTTCGACGCATAACATTGAACTGCGGCAATCGCTCTCAAGAGCACATTTTTAAGCTAGATCTAATTTCTTTGCACGAGAGGACTCAGAATACAGGGTGTCCCATAAGTTCGTTCTCACCTAAATTTTACGTTTTTAGGCTCTCTTGCTTAAAGGCACGCTGAAATTGGTTCGTAACTGAGCTTACGTGGTTGCCATGGCTGGTAGAAATATGCTCCACAGTAGCTAATTTCTGTAGACAAAATAGTTTTTGCTATAGAGCCCGCTTCCTACAGAGACGGCTAACGCCGCAACATAGAGGTCTCCGATACGGGTACGTCTCAGTATTTAGTCAGCACGTGACCATTCGCGACGATTGAGGGTGATTGAGGCCTACCAGTCTGTAGCCAATGTCCATCGCTAACTGGACGCACAGTCAGCAAGTGACACCGATGATTTGTCGGGAGTCAGTCGCTGCAAGTTTATCCTCTTTCCAGTCAGCCCTCAGGAGTGAGCCAAGTGGCCAAAACTGTGTGGCGCCAAAGTGGCCATCAAAAAGGTCAAAGGGTTACAAAGTTTGTAAGCAGACTTTTCAGGATGGATTACCAGCTGTCTAAGAGTGTTCTTTCGGGGT